AGGACCTGCTGCAGCTGGACCTCTACGGCCTGTTGGGGGTCGGCGAGAAGGCGTCGGAGAAGGAGGTCAGGGCCGCGGGCCGGGAACCCTCACAGGGCCGCGGGGAGGCTCGGACCGGGGCCCGCTCTCTTCCCGCCCTCGGCGCCTCCAGCCCGGCTCTTCCGCCCCCCGCCTTTCCCTCAGGACGGGGGCTGTTGCCGAGGGCAGAAGGCGGCTCGGACGAGGGGCTGCCTTTGCTGCTCTCCGGATAGTTAGCTGAGCGGTTGCTCCAAGCGCTGTTTTAGTGTGATATCGCTGCCCTGGGCACCGCTGCTTTGCTGCGTTGTCGGCTGGAGCTGTTAATAAGTGGGAAAGCCCATTTTTTCTGTTGTTGGCTTTGCTGCCCTCAACTTACCCTTCCGTTTTCTCCTCTTAAGCCTGTGGGGCGGGACCTGGCTTTGGAGCAGGGTGAAATCAGTTGGAGAGAACTGCAGAATTTGTCTCGGACAATGTTTCTCTTGCTTTGTTTGTTTATGTGCCTTCAGAAGGAAAGCTCCTCCCGTGTTTACCAAAAATCCAGTTGTTAGAGGTTGGTCTAAGTACTGTAGGTTCCCGTAAGTCATCTTGTTAATTTTGTGGGTTTGGGATTAAATGTTTCCATTTTTCCTTTAATTTAATTGGTAAGTCCACACTAAACACAACATTTGAGCAGCTGAGCTTAGTAACTGAACAAAGTTAAACTTGGAAGGAAAACTTTGTTTTTTCTCCTTAGGCTTTTTTTTTTTCTTTAGCAGTAAAAAGCAGTAGCAGTACAGCAGGATAAAACTTGGAAGCTACAATCTGGCATAACCAGCAATTGTGTCTGAGGCTGCCTGGAGAGTCCATGTGTAAGAGGCACAAAACAGGGGAACAAGCCAAACGTAACGCACAGGACTGAATGAGATGAAAGACTTGAGGTGACCTCAGCTTCACTGCTGGGCTAGTCACTGAGGGAAAAGGATGAGAAAATTACAAATTGGATGTTATGGTGCAACTTAAAAAGTGACAAGTGTAATTTAGAGTGTTAATCCTTGATGTAAAATACTTGAAACAACCCAAAGACCCTTTGTATGCAGAGCAGCATGGCCAAAAGAAATGAACAAAGGGGAGCAAGACTCTTAAAGTACTTTAACCTCACTGTTTAGAGAAGCCTTATCTGAACTTGCCACGTAGAACGGTTATTTTAATAGTTGTGACTGATGCCTGGGGAAGAGACTTAACCTCTCTCTTAACTGCAGTCTTGCTTAGGCAGGAGATAGGATTAGGCCTGTGAGGCTTTAGCTGCACGTTTCCCTTCCAAGAGCTTTGTCCACCAGGTGGTGCCGGGCCACCGCTTATTCCACTCTTTTGAGCAGAGGACTGCATGGCAGTCGAGCAGAGCAGCTTTCCTTCCTTTCCTTTCTTGCATGCAGATGTGTCCCTGACAAAGGGAACTCAGATTGAAAGTGACTTAACTCAGAAAGTTGTCAGTCCTTCTTTGAAGCATAGAAGGGATTAAACAGTCTTTGGTCAAAAATTCTTCACCTTGCCAAACTGAATTGTTGCACAGTAAATAGTACTTTCTCTGTCCCAAAGTTACAACTGCAAAGAACACAGTATCCCTCTGGCAAGAAAACTGCCTCGGTGAACCAGACTTGGCTTTGATGATCGTGAGGTTTGGCTGCTGTAATACAATGCACCTAGAAATAAAACTCTGGCTTTGAAAAGCTTAGACTCATACAAAATATGGCTGCCTGCCTGAGCTCAAATGCTTATCCTTGCAGTACAGTGTGATTAAAAATGACAGGTCATTGCATTGAGGTTGAAAACTGAGCTTTTCAGAGGTCTCTTGCTATTACAGTAGGCTGCTTTACCTTTCAATATGAGGGGGTAATGGAGCTACTGGCACTCCAAAAATGGTCTTTATTTTCTGTCAGAGCTGGGGGGCATCTAGTCACGAAAACGAATGCTGGTTCAACCACAGCCTTCTACTTATGACAGGGAGGTGTGTTTTAAGTTAAGCAAAACCAACAACAAAAACAACAAAAGAAGCCCTCTGAATAATAACTTTTTGTTTCTGCAGTGTTTTGTGGGTGGGGTTGGTTGTTTGTTTTTTTCCCACGTTGCTTTTCTCAACACAGACTAAACACCACCAACCAGTAAATCTCAATTCTGGCTCTTGCAGGTTAAGAAAGCATACCGTCAGAAGGCCCTGACTTGTCACCCAGATAAGAACCCGGACAATCCCAGAGCAGGTAACATGGGGCTGTGCAGGCACAAACAACTCTTCATGTTTGTTTTCACATGTGCAGACTCCTGGAAGTGGCTCTGTTTAACTTCAGGTCTGCCTTTGCATGTAATTAAGGGAATGCCTGGGTATATGCTATGTGGAGTATACGTATGCAAGACTAAGAGTTATTTTCATCACTATTAGAGTGCTCTGTTTTTTAAGGTTGAACGCATACATGTTGGTTTTAGAAACATCAGTATTAAGTCAGTGCTGAAATTATATTTGCACCTCTCAAAATCTTCCCACGTGGTACTTGAATCCTGGACCTTTGGCCATGCTGTTCCCAGTGTTTACTGGGTGGTCACTATTTTAATTCATACCTCTCACAGTCGAAATTTCAACAGCAAGCTTATAAACCATATTATCTATGTTTTTTTTAAATGGCTTCTGCAGCTACTCTGTTTTTAAGTTTTGTAGCTGCAGGTAGCAGTGAACAGCAGTGGTAACTAGAAGGATGCTGTTGATCAAGACACCTCAAAATAAACATTGTTCTGTATCTCGCATTTTCCAATTTGATGGGCTTATATATTGAAAATTTATAGCTATAGTACAGAGAAAATTTTTCCACCAGAAGAAAAAAAGATTTTAGCGGCAATGAGAGGAAAGCTGGGGGCTTTGATATCTGCAGAAGGTTGAGAAGTGATTTGAAGTGTGTGGGGAGGCCTCTGGCTTATGTGTGTAACCTTCCAGGAAAAAGGTCAGCAATATTGATGTAAAATGCAAAGTAATGCAAAGTTTGAATCTTGGGCTGAAAAGCTATTGACATGAAAGGGAGAATTTGTTTGTAACAGTGTATTTCAGGCTGACTGCAGGTTAAATAATACATTTCTGTAGATGGGTTCTTTTCAATTCGTGCTTTCAAGACTTCTGTTAAAATTAAATGGTCCCAGTTTTTGTTTCTTAATTTACACTGAAGTTTATATAACAAACATTGTCCTTTGATTTGAGGTGATCCTGGCTGTCAGTTGCCTTACAAATGCTTTGGAAAGATTATTCTTCTTTCTGATGTTCTGCAGGTCTCTTCCATAAGGGATTGTCATTTCTGATTCATCTCCAGGCCACTAGCATGGTTTTCTGCATCTTACCCTTTTTTCTTCTAATTCCCAGCGGAAGTCTTCCACCAACTGTCTCAGGCCTTAGCTGTGCTAACAGATGCAGCAGCAAGGGTAAGAATGCCCATCCCTTGGTGACGTTGGGATTGTGTGGTGTCGTTGCTCTTCCTGTCTCTCCTGCTCTCTTCTCCAATTGTGACTTCATGAATGCAAGTCTCATCTGTTATTCCCTGTAGTTCTCCGTGAAATCAAATAATAGGTGCCAGATAAGAACTTGGACAAATGTTCTTTTTCTGATTTGTTGTGCTGGGAGTAGCTCTGTCCATTTGCTGCAAGGGTGAGATACTGTCTTTAATAATGTGTTGGACTGGGGCATATCCCATTTAAAAAAAATAAGTGATAACCACCACTGATTCAGGGACGCATTAAATTCCCATGACAACGATGCATTTGCAGTTCCCTTGAAGTCAAGGTCTGACAAATAAATAATATCTAGTTGTGATTGCTAAAGCTCAAAGCCTTTCTTTCGATGGGGCACAAGAGACTTGTAAACAGAAAAGCTGAATCATAGTCATGATCTCTATCCTTTTGCTGCAAGAACTTTGCAGTCTGCCAGATGTAGCTTGGACTCTTTTCTTGCTGTGAGGAAGTGGTTGAGTGTCTACAGCTCAAGGCTTGAAAGTAATCTGGACATGTGAAGGGAAAGAATAAAAACAAAATAAAAATGAGCAAGTAACTCTATCCAGATAAACTCAGGAAAGAAGGCATATTAAAAATTCAGATGATAAGATTTAAAAACATGAAATAACTCTCCTCTTTTCAAACGTTGGCAAAACTTGTACTCTCCCCTCCAAGGGGCAATAAAGCTTTTGGCATCGAAGAACTTTTTGGCTTCTACATTTTAAAAAGGAAAAACTGTTTAGCAAACTCTTCCCATGCAGGAAGGAGAAATATCAGCTTTTCTAGTTTATTAAACAAGAGCAGTACTTTCCTGTACAACTATTCTACAAGTAATATTTGAGCATCTGTGCCAGTCTATGCTTTACCTACTACAGAAAGGTTCTGTGTAGGTTGATGAACAGATTATCAGCTGGTTTAAACAGGTGCTAGTGAAATTGCCAGTTTATCCCAGTTCTTAAGTCTCTATAGTGCTAAATGAATGTTGATGTCTTACTGCTGCTGAAGAGTTCTGATGCTCTTTGATCTAATGTGTTCATGTGAGTCAAACATCTGTGTTGTGAATAAATCTTTCATAAAAATAGACCTTTCTAATTGTAAAACTTTGCTCTAAACCAAACCTCATCTGTTACCAGTGCCCCTAAAGCAACTTCTGGCATGTTCAGGAAACCAAAATTCTTCCCACCTCTCAAGATGGGTCAGACTTTCTCTCCAGTACGCTTTGCAGTTATTCCTGGACTTCCTCACCCTTTCAGGCTCCATCTGGAGATCCTTGGGCCTCTTCTCATGTTTTCAGGGTATTTGTGTTAACTTCCAACACTTTTATGAGGAATGGTAGCACGAAGCAAAAAATGCTTCACTTCTGCTTACCGTGTTTCAATATCTGATCTCACCTTTATTCGCTGCTTTCCATTTTCTCTCTTCTGCTTTATATAGTTTCACACTATTGTGTTGGTTCTTTGACAGGCGGCGTATGACAAAGTGAGAAAGGCTAAGAAGCAAGCTGCAGAAAGGACACAAAAACTTGATGAGAAGCGAAAGAAAGTAAAGCTTGGTAATAAAATCAAAACTTTGTTTTCTCTTGGCTTGAAGTCCTTATTAGCTGGGTGTTGGCATTTCTTCTACCGCTGGAATTCACCATTGATTAATCTGCTGTCCATTTGTGATGGCTGTGGTTTCTTTATGCCCAGTACAGTATAGTAGCCATTTGAAATCTCCTCCCACAGTCATAGCTGGGGGATGATCCTGCTCTGGGAAGGAATTAGGGGGTTTGATGACTGTTAAGACTGCTGATACATTGATGTGCCTGGGCAGAGGAGAGGTAGCAGAGCTATCAGGACTCTACTTTGAAATTGGTGTAGGTGTAGCCAAGTTTGTGATCTTCCCATTCACCCCTGGTCAGCAGCGTCAGCAGTAAAAATTCTCTCTGGATTCTTTTAATTTTGTGTCTTTCTCTGCAGATCTTGAAGCCAGAGAACGAGAAGCCCAGGCCCATGAGAGTGAAGAGGAAGAGATCAGGATAACGAGATCATTAGAACAAGAAGTAATGATAAATTCTTAGATTTCTCTGCTTCTTTTGAGAAGAACTGCTGAAAGTGTTTACAATCATAATGAAAACCATGTGATGAGATGCAGCAAATCTACGTATAGCAGTCCTTCAGCCTTTTGGTTTAATGGGCTCTATGAAAGAGAGGCATGTAGAAGGGATCTTGTACCAGTCTGGCAAATGTGTCAATCTCAGGGTTTTATTTTTTTGTCTGCCTTTTACCTTTTGCATAGCAGACAGTAACAACAGCTGATTGGTTATATGCTGGCTGATAGGGACTGTGTCACTAGGAACATGAGGGGTCCAATTTTATGAGCTTTTACAGGGGAACTAGCAGGAGGGTTGCCCCAGGAGATGGGTAGATGGGTATAAGACAAAGCTCTCCTTGGCAGTCTTTAGCTGGCATGAACCAACCATGGAACTGTGCCCTCAGATATCCGTGCTGTCTTACCTCTGCTGTAGATAATACGCCTGCGTGAAGAAGGCTCCCGTCAGCTTGAGGAGCAGCAGATACTCATTCAAGAACAGATCCGTCTTGAAAGAGAACAGCACATCCAAGGTGAGAACAGATGAGGTTGAATCCCTCAGCCAAACTACATGCACGTGGGACTCCAACTCTTCTGTAGACAGAGCTCATATACAGATGCAGCCTTCCGACTTGGTCACGTTGCCATATATAGGATCCTACTTAGCACCTTTTTCAGGGATAAGTCAAAAGACTAGTATTTCTGGGGGGTTGCTTTCTTATGTGTGACATGCTGTTCTTTAACACATTGTTGCTGCTCCTTTTCCATAAATATTGTAAAGCATTGAATGTAGATGGTCTGATGTGGAGCCCCACAGTTATGCTGTAGGGAGCCTAAGGTTCTGCTCATCTGTCACAATTAAAGCAGTCAGTGTTGCAGACTCAAAATGGGGAATGATTCAAGTTTGCAAAAAAAAGTTGTCATTGGGTTACTACTTCTGTATCCCCGTGAAAGTTCTCAGTACTTATCACCCAAAAGAGACTCAGTGTGGAGAATAACGTTTTGTTTAGTTTATGGTTGCTGAGGCTTTACTTTCTGGAACTTGATTCTCTCGTGTTCCTTGGGCATACACAGTCTTCATCCCAGGTTTGTACAAAGACCAGCAACAAATCTGTCAGGAAATGAGCAACATACTGAACTGGAAAACATCTGCATTCTGTGCTACCATACAACAACAGGTAGTTATGTTGGAAGTTGTCTCCCTCTAATTCTCGTGGGCTGTGAAATGAGCAACATACTGAACTGGAAAACATCTGCATTCTGTGCTACCATACAACAACAGGTAGTTATCATGTTGGAAGTTGTCTCCCTCTAATTCTTGTGGGCTGTTCAGTAGCTGTGGTTAGTCTCCTTCATACAGGAGGGGATGAGATTTTTCCAGAATCCCAGAACCTCATCCTTTGGTATTCCTGCACTTCGCTCCCATCCACATGTCTCTATATTGAATTGACTTTTTTAATATTCTTTGTGGGCTTAAAATACAGTTGTATGTTTCAGAAAGTTCTGTTCTTGTTTTCAAAATAACATCAGAGGTCCAGATGCAGAAACTCTTTTTGGGCTCACCAGGGTTTTCCTGTAAGAGTGTAAGTCATTCAGCCCACCCTACCCTTTCTTAACTTAATTTCTCATATCAGGAACTGGGGGGCGATGTTGAGCATTTGCTTAGCATAAAGCACTTTGAGATCCTTGAAATGAGAGCACATCATTATAAAGTATTTAGTTGCAGGGCCAGATTAAATTCTTAGGCTATGCTATCCTTTTTTTTGTCTACCCTTTATTTTTCCACACTTGTTCCCACCAGCAAAACCCCCTTGCAGGGGAAAAATGTCACAGGTCTCCTGCTTGTATTTTTACTTAGCTGTTTCTAGCCTTGATCATGGCAAGTCTGGGCATCATAGAAGGAAAAATGCTAACATCTGATATTCAGTCTGTATTACGGTTCCTGATGAAAGTGTTGCACAAGACTTTAGGGGCTGAAACCATCTAGTGGAAATCCAGAAGTGTTTGCTATTGCCATATGTAGATTCTCAGGGCGAATTAAATGCTCTTTAGCTGAGGAGTTTTCACCCATGTCCTTTCCATCTTTATTTTCTTTCCCCTCTTCAGGCAAGCAAGAAGGAACTGGAGCAGAAGGCAAAATAACTCCCAAACTGAAAGTAAGACATCTTTATAAAGCTGGGTTTTGGTGAAAACTGGTAGAACATTATGCAGCTCTGGAAAACAGAAGGGACACTTCAACTCTGCTAAACTGGCATGTCCCTTTGTACAGTGGAGGTGAAGTTCCTCTATCTAATGTGTATCATGCATGAGAACAGCTCCTGTCACTGCCTTTAAAATACCCTTCCTCCCTCACCCTTTTCTCTACTGTCTGGTCTAGATTTTTGAGTTGTCTGAAATTGAGTTGTCTCTGCTTTAGGCATGGCGAAATGTCTGCTTATTACCCTGATATAGCCATTAGTATGCTTTGAACTATTTTTTGTTTCAGTGCAGTGTTTCTCCCCGTTCCCCAAATAATTTGTTCCCTTTGCACATTTGGATGTTGGAATCGCTGTCTTGGCAATTCTGGGAGCGCAGCTGTAAATAGCAAACTTGGTTATTGTGCAGGTGGCAGGAGCTGCTTTGAATGTGGCAACATGTGTTCAAATGGACAAAATTAACTTGTCATGTTTATTTCCCAGCTAAAATGGAAATGCAGGAAAGAAGATGAGACGAGAGGGGGATACTCAAAAGACGTTCTATTGCGGATCCTACAAAAGGTCCTGTCTGACACTTTCCTACTACTTAATCTTCCCCTGCTCTCAGTGGTGTAAGAAAGGATAGTAAATTCTGGGAAGCTACATATAAACCAGAGTGGCTCTTTTTTTTTCTGTTGTCTAGCTTTCTTACTCATGCCATTTTCAGAGATCATCAGCGTGATCCATTAGCTGTGAACTGTTCCCCAGCTAGCACCTCTG